ATTTTTATGTGGTGCTGAGGATCAAACCCAGGGCCTCGCACATGCTAGGCAAGCGCTCTACTGCTGAGCCACAACGCCAACCCCCAGACTTCCTCTTTGAGGCTCTGAAGAAGTTCACTTGCCTTCTACTGGAGAGGGCCAGAAGGCTGGATGCCCTCCAGGAGACATCTCTGGGTCTCAGTTCAAGTGCTGTAGTCCCATTTGGGGCTACCAGCTTCCCCCTCTTGTTTTTTTAATTTCTCCAGCCCTTTCTAGCAAGCCAAGTCTTCCTAGCAAAACAGCTAGACACTCCAGCCCCCCAGTTCTCACTTTAGGTACTACTAGTCAGGTAGGCTTAGGCTGCAACTCCAGCTTTGCCACTTACTAGTTGTGTGAATCTGGAGCTCATTCTACCTCTCTGCTTTAATTGCTTTGTACATAAAATGATACTAATGGTCCCCAACTCATAAGGTCATTTGAGAATGAAATGATACAGTGCAAATGAAGAACTCAGCTCAAAGACTGGCACATAGTTAACCCAAAGTAGTGGTTTTATCTATTCCCCAAGGGTCTTTTTCAGCCCTGGCTGTGCTGTACTGTCTCCATTTTTATTTAGGAGATGGGTCAGCCCAGAGGGGTGGCCTGAGTAGTAATAGTATTCTGAAAGAATAGTATTCTGAAAGAACCTCAGTTCTGACATTTTCCTAGCCCTCTAGTCTGGCAATTCCTTCACTTCTCTACTTCCATTTTCTCATCTGCAACATAAGAATGGCAGTAGTACTTACAGCAGTGCCTAGAACTTAGGAAGTGCTAGTGAATTGGCTAGTACTACAGAGATATGTCCTTCCATGTGGACAAAGTCTCAGGGGCCATCTAGGAAGTTCTCTGACCAGAGAGATGCCTGCTTATTCCTTTGGAGGGGCTCTTGGAGGAAACTCCCCACTTTGAAGATCTGGTCCTTTCTGAGACTGTTATTTCCAAGATTTTCTGGCTGTTCCTGAATTTCCCGGAGGCTAGAAGAAGCGAGTGACGCAGGGTGGGAGCTTGCCGAGAAGTTGAACATGAGATGATCAAAAACATGATCAAAACCGTATGGAGTTGGCTCTGACCAAATACTCAGCCATGCAACAGACAGCCCCAAGAGTCTTGAGAACTGGATGTGCTCCAGGCCTGTGTGGGCATAGTAGGAAGGGGCCATGTTCAATTCTTTTTCTTACTAATCAAATGTGTATTGGGGCTTATTTTGTGACAACCACTGTGCAGAGTAATATTAGCACTGAAGATGAACAAGATTCAATCTCTTCTCTGGTAGCTATCTCAACATTTAGGACAGTGGGTTTTTGTCCAAAAGGAAGCTCCCCAAGTAGGGATGTCAGGTATTCTCAGGCAGATATTAGCTGCAGGGACCACAGGCCTTTGGGGTAGGAGATATCATTCAGCTACAGGCCTTGAACTATAGTGAGTGCCATGTGCCCTAGAGTGGAAGGGATATATTTAGAGGCAGGCAACAAGGCCTCTATAGTCTGCTTGGAGAGCTAGGAGACCACATTGCCTGCCAGAGAGCTAGCATCCTAATCACTATCAGAGATAAGCATGTAAAACTTGTGATAATGAAGATAACTTCTATCAGTAAATGGTAGTGAAACAGGAAGCAGATGATGATTAGATGGCATCACAGTACTGAGAGTGTTTAAGGAGGATGGGTCAAGATTGCTGGATTAGTGCACCTGACAGGGAGAAAAGTGGATAAGACCCAAGAGGGGTTGGTATGTTTGGAAGGTAGGAAATAGAGCCGGGGAGAAGGCTAGGATGGACTGAAATGATTGGAGAAGGGGTGGGAAGAGTTATGTGCCTGTTCATTGTGAGGTGCCCACCCTCCCAGATTTCCTCCAAATTCCTTATTTTCAAAGGTTCCAGGATCAAGCAGAGACTGTTCAATTTAAGGCATTTCACTGACTTTAGATTATTTTCTCTCTTCCTGAGCCTCAGGGTTATGGTTTGGACCTTTAATGTTCTCTGAAAAGCTCATGTTTTGAAAGCATGATCCTTAACATAGCAAGTCCAGAGGAGACTTTTAGGCAATGATTAGGTCATGGAGTCTGTAACATCATCAGAGAATTAATCCATTTGATGAAATAATAATTTGAATGGACCACTGGGTAGTAACTGTAGGGGCATGATTGGAGTAAGCAGGTCACTGGGGGTGTGCCCTTGGACTATATCTAGTCCCTGAGTCCTCCGTTGCTCTCTCTGCTTCCCAACAGCTTTACTCCATCACATCCTTCTGCCACGATGTTCTGCCTCATCTTAGGCCCAGAGCAATGGACTGAGATCTCTGAAACCATGAGCCCAAAATAAACTTTTGCTCCTCTAAGTTGTTCTTGTCAGGTATTTTGTTCATAGCAATGAAAACCTGAGTAGCACACTCAGCTTCCCTTTTGTTCCCAGAAGGTGGCCCCTGGTAACCCAAGAAGTGGGGAAGTTTCTGGATATGCCTGACTTTGTGGGAGACTATGTAAATGCTCGGGGCTTAGTATGAGATCCAAAGATTTCAGGAGACAAGTGTTTGTTTGGAACAACTTTCAAAAATCAAGCTCCTTCCTGGCCATGGTGGTACATGCCTGTAATCCTAGTGACTTGGGAACCCAAGATAGGAGGTTTACAAGTTTGAGGTCAGCCTGGGCAACTTAGTGAGACCCTGTCTCAAAATAAACTAAAAAAGGGTAGAATATAACTCAGTGGTAGAATAGTAGAATATAACTCAGTTCAATTCTCAGTACTGGAAAAAAAAAGAAAAGAAAAATCAACCCCCTCTTTGTCATCTGACAGATGGGAGAACTGAAGCCCATGGAGGGTTGAAGAAACTTGCCTAGTGTCACATAGTGACAGGGGCAGAGATATGAGACATGGGCCTAGACATTGAACCTCCTAGTAGCAGTGCCATGGAGGTAGTGTCTAGGGACTCGGTCCTGGTAGCAACTTCCTCAGAACTCTTACCTTCCCTTCCCTCTCTGTATTCGTGTGAGGATCCAGAAGGAGGGTTTGTGTCTGCTTTTGAGGTAGGATGACTTCCTCTTTGTTTCAGTGGTACCTGAGAAGGATTTGAGGCAATGTGCCCCCCTTATATATGTGTTTATTCTCTGCCTGTGGGATGCAGGGTGCTCCATGGCTGGCTGGCTTGATGGAAGAGGATAGTTGGGTAGGTGTGTAGATGGAGATCTAATGGACGCAGAGACAACTGGATGCATGGATGCATGAATGGATGAATAATTTTTCCTCAGCATCAGAGCCAAACTTTCCAGTCATAACAACTATTTTTGAAAGCTATTCCCATCCCTCCCACCCCTTGTGACTCTGAGATTTCGGTACCTGAAGTTTATAACACCTGCCATGGGAGCAGAGAAGATGAAGATGCTGTCATACTTTCATCCCAGTGAATAGGGGCTGGCACAATCCCTTTGTTCTCCTTCCAAAGCCTGCCTAGACCTGGCTTTGTTTCTGGCTGAGTTGAATCTTGTATAATGATGACTTGTCTTTCCAGGTAAGAGTATTCAATTTGGCCTCCTAGCTGCCATTGGAACCCAGCATACAGACTTGTCATTTTTTTTTTTTTTTTTTTTTTGGTACTGGGGATTGAACTCCCCCACTGAGCCACATCCCCAGCCCTATTTTGTATTTTATGTAGAGACAAGATCTTGCTGAATTGCTTAGCACCTCACTTTTGCTGAGGCTGGCTTTGAACTTGCGGTTTGCCTGCCTCAGCCTCCTGAGTCACTGGGATTATAGTGCACCACCCATGCCAGGCAGACTTGTCATTCTTGACTATTACAGGCCTTTAAAGGCTAAACTCTGGAAATCAACAAGCTTCTCTGAGGGACTAGGGAAGCACAAGGAGTTTACTCCTCACAGACATCTCTATGGGATGCTCTAAGAGCCCCAGGGCTTTTGTTCTTCAGACCTAAGACTCTTTCCCTGAGACTCCCCTGGTCTCAGTGTTGCCTCTGAACCCTAGAACCCATGTGTACTGCAGGGTAAGGGTGGAGCCGCCTGCTGGTTATCCTGAGCTTCTTTGGCTGCTCCTTCTTTTATCATGAGGGTTTTTCTCCCATCTCTGACCTATGGCTCCCAGGTCTGTTTGTCAGTGCCCCTGAGAGGTATGGCCCCCCGGATTGCTCAGAATGGACAAGATCTTGCTTAGACTGACTGAGTTAGAGAGGAGGGCTGGTCTAGAGGTCAGATTCTGTATGTACAGATGGAGCCTTCACACACAGCTTCTGAGTCTTTCATCATGTATTTATTATTCTCTAAACAAATATTTATTGAGTAACTACCTTGTGCCAGGTGGCACTTTGGAAACCAAACTAGACTTGATCCTTGCTCAGGAAGATGGACAAATATGGAAAATATTGGTCAGTGTGATGAATGCTATGGGAGAGAGGTTGTGAGGGAGTGAAGTTATAAAACCCTGCTTGGGGACAGGAAAGGCTTCTTGGAGAAAGAAACATAAGGATCCAGATGGGAAGCCGGAGGACAGAGGAGAGAGAAGAACGTGCAAGAGGGAATGGTATGGGCAGACAGACACTTCCTCAGGCATTAGAGCTAAGCCCTCTGCCCTACTCCTTTCCTTCACTAATGCCTGATCCCTGAGACACCTGGGTTTGGATCCATACCTTGGAGAGAAAACATGGGCAGGCCCAAGACACTTGGCTTGTCCAGGGACTGGCACAAGTTGAGAGTGGCTAAACATGAGTGTGACAGACAGGAGACATGAGATGGGGCCCTAATTGTGGGGGCTGATCCTGAGATCATCAGGGTGTTAGGTAAAGGTTTATGAAGAGATTGCTCGGAACTTAAGGTAGAAAATAGATCCTGACATTCCATGTCTTTCTTTCTTATTCCTGTCCTTTTAGATGAAGAGCAAACAGAAAGCAAACAAACAGATCAATGGGTGCTAAGTGGCTTTATTGAAAGCGTTGCAGTCTGGGCATGAAGAGGCTGTGATCTTGCTACATTTACCCTTTCACTCACCCACTCACACAAAGACACTGAAGGCCCTGCCTTGGTTGGGACAGGTGGGGTGCAGAGCAGCTGGAAGCCTGGTCTTCCCTTCTGGTCTTTGGTTCCCCAGGCCAGGGAGAGTCCCATCCCTTCAGTCAGACACAGGGCTCCCTCTGGTACTGTTATGGTCTAATTGCTGTGGCGCTTGCTCTGTGGGAGGAAGGATAGGCAGAGTCATGGGATGGACAGAATCTTGAACAGGGGCTTGGAGGTTGGAGGTAGGGCTGGGAGGACAGACTTGCCTTGGCAGAGGACTTTTTCAATCTGCGGATGATACGGTCTACCCAGGGCTGGTCTGGGGGTGCACAGAGCTCGTGGCCTCTCAGTGTGGTGAACCTGGAGTCAGAGGTCAGAGAGAAAGGGGGGATCCCTGGAACCCAGATTCCTGGAAGGCTGTAGTGTGAGGGGCAGAGGCTGGGGACCATGTCTGGGAAACTTTCAAGGGCTACCTTGAAGGAGTTTAGCTTGATCAGAAAAAGAGGGATAAAAAGGTAGGGGTATCACTAGAAGCCAATGGGAGGATAGGACTAGACACCTTCCCATCAACTTACACAACAGCAGGCACCCTGCAGCCATCCTTGAGGAGGAGGTAGCGAAAGGCTTTCACGATGTTCCCAGGGATGGGGCGCTGGGTCACAGACAGGCAGCAGTCTTCTGCATCATTGGCACCACCCAGAGCTGGGGCTGGGATAGGGGAAGAAGGTGTTAGGACACAGGGATGGTGAGGAAGGGAGGCCACAGTCTGAAGTGGGATTAAGGTCAGCTGTGTGCTGATATTCAGCCAGTGTGCACCAATATGGTTGCAAACTCTATTGTAATACTTCTGAACTGTTTGGTAAAGAACCACTACCCTGAGCCCCACAAATGCCTTCCTGCTACTCTGATCACCGAAATATCTCTTTCTCTCAGGTCTTCTCAACTTCTCCATGTTCCACAAATAAAAAATTAATGCTAGCTGTCTCTTTGACTGGAGATGGCCCATACTCTCCCTTGAACATGTCTCTATTTTCCTAAGTAAACCCTTGTCTGTGTTTCTGGAAACAAAACAGTTAATGCTAGTCACAGTGCTGGGGCAGAGAAGCTGGTGTTAAGGCTTATGAATTGGTAAATAGTTAAGCTATGTTGACACAGACCTATTGTCCCACATTTTTAGGCCAGCCTGTGCAACATAGTGAGATCCTGTCTCAGAACAAAACAAAACAAAAGCAAAAACAAAAACAATAAAAAAGAAGAAGGAGGAGGAAGAGGAGAAGGAGGAGGAGGAGAAAAAGAGAATGTATCACTGAATATTTTGACTGTCAGCCTTGCCTCAGTGTCTCCATTTCTCCCTACCTTTAACAAATATATATATTCCTTTTTTCTACCTGGGAAACAGAGGCACAGAAATAGACACTGCAAAGGAAGGAAGCCATAGGCCCCAGAATATGCCAAAAGCTGATCCATATTGGAATTTAAGGGTACGGAGGCGCCCACACTCACAGGCATACACACAGGGCACAGGGAACCCCTAGGTTCATTGAAACATGCAGACCCAAGAATTCCCCTGAATTTGGAGTATCCCTCATGACCATCAACAAGCAATTTGAGACCCAGATTTTGACCCCCAACTCACTGCTACCACCACCCTAGTCATCCCCTCAGCCTTACCTGGGGAGTTCCAGAGAACTAGTAGACTGAGAGCCAGTAGTGGGGCCACACGGGGTGCCATGGAGAGTGAACTGAGTCAGGCAGCAGCAACTGTGGAAGTCTGAGTGAGTCTCTGGGTGTGTGTATTAGTCTGTGAAGCTGAGGCTCCGGTAGGCTTGCAGGAGAGTGGTGGCAGTGCACAGGCGTCCTTGGGGTGTGAGGGGATCTAGAAGTGTGTGTGTGAGAGCCTGTGTGAGGCTGTGGCTGCTTCTTATTTATGGCCCAGAGCTTTCGCTTTCTCTGTCCAAAATTCCCCTCTATGTCCCGTTCTGGGGATTCTCCTTTACCCCCCTCTTTCTGGCAAAACAGGGCCCTGCCCTCCCTCCTTCCCCCTTAGTGGTTTCCTCTCTCTTCTGCTTAGTTTGGCTTCAGCTCTGAGAACCTAAGCAGCCTACAGTCTGGCCAAGAACAGGGGGAGCTATTTATTTTCAGCTCCAGGGACAGTGTTTGCATTCTGATCTCTTTGTTGTAGGGGCAGACAGATCAAGATTAAGGGGATTATTCTATAAAATGGGCCCACTGTGCTGACTCCCCACATTCTTTCTTTTTCAACAAGCAATTCACCTGCAGCTCTGCCTCACTGAAGTGGCCAGGATATGTTACATGTCTTGGCAAACTACCTGTTATCTGCAGGAGACATGCAAGTCCAAAATCATGTTGATAAGAAGAACACAATTTACCCTGAAAGTGGAGATTTTTGTGGCCCTTTTCACAGATCAGATCCCAGAACTCAGGGAGATAAGGATAATTGCTTCTAATCATAAAATCTGTAAGAATTTATGATTAGGAATCCAATCAGAACCAATCAGTGTGGGCCAAAGTGATGTAGAGTTATCGAAGTGGCGACTTCAAAATCTGATGTCATCCTGCTGCCAGTCGAAAGTCAAGAGGTGGATTTGGGTGGGATTCTCTGGACACTTCTCTGGGACCTCCAATAAAAACTGGAGTGCAGGAGAGGCAAGCAGTCCCTCTCTTCTCTGAAAGGACCTACTCTCTCTCTTGAGAGTGTCCTCTTTCCTCTTTCCTATCCCCGTCACTCTGAGCGACATGTCTGAAATCTTTCTGACTTGCAAGAATTGGAGTTTGAAGGAGAGGGATTTTCATGCTGCCTCAGTTTCCCAGAAGGCCCACTTAGGTGGTATTGTCACTGGGTGAACTATAGTCTGAGTTTTAAACCAGGACCCAGTGGCAAATCAGGAATTGCTTTTCAAAAAGAAAACAATTGTTAGCAGGAGAACTTTGGCCTTAACTTTCACTGTCTATGTTTTTGCTATAATTCTCCTATTTAGGGTTCCTACAGGATCTTTCTGTGCCACAAACAACTTAAAGTTCATTGGACTTACATGTTGTTAGACCCAAGCAGCAAAGCAACTTTCCCTGAAGCCTGTAGAGGCCTTTCTTGCCCTGAACTTCATTCAGAACTCTTGGCTTTATGCAAAATATCAAGTAAATATTTTGAAGTAGTACATCTAATTATGGTATATGTTGCTTCTAAAATCCAAACTGCCTTTTAACATTGTGCCTCTTTCTTCATGTGTAAAAATGTTCCAGGTCACTATTTTTCAGCTTACCTCTATCCCTAGAAGCTTAGAAATTTCACCACACTTTGAGAAACATTGACTAGGAGGAAGAATAGAATACAATTCACCTGTGAGAGAGATCCAGGACCTCCCACCTTCCACACAATCAAGGGGGTTCAGGTCTGGGGAGCTGACTTAATTTGAGGAACAGATAAATTATAAGTGAAGTTAGTCAATCCCCCCAAACCAAAGGCTGAATGTTTTCTCTGATATAAGGAGGCTGATTTAGGCTGGGGATGAGGCTCAAGCGGTAGCGCGCTCGTCTGGCATGTGCGGGGCTCTGGGTTCAATCCTCAGCACCACATAAAAATAAAATAAAGATGTTGTGTCCACCAAAAACTAAAAAATAAATATTAAAAAAATTCTCTCTCTCTCTCTCTCTCAAAAAAAAAAAAATAAGGAGGCTGATTCATAGTGGGTTAGGGAGGGGGAACATGGGAGGAATAGACGAACTCTAGATAGGGCAGAAGGGTAGGAGGGGAAGGGAGGGGCTATGGGGTTAGAAATGATGGTGGAATGTGATGGACATTATTATCCAAAGTATATGTATGAAGACACGAATTGGTGTGAATATACTTTGTATACAACCAGAGATATGAAAAATTGTGCTCTATATGTGTAATAAGAATCGTAATGCTTTCTGCTGTCATATATAAATAAAGAAAAAAGAAAAAAATTAGAAAAGACGTAAAAAAATGTCAATTCCAATATTACCTGAATAAATTTTCTACCCATAAGGTCTAGAAATTTTGTGTCAATTAGCATATCAGTAAGCTGTTCATCTATTTCATTACTCAGGAGACCATGACCAATTTGCTATCACCACATATCCCATGGGCAAACATTGATTACCAGTCATTCCTATAGTTTATATAGTAATTTCATTCACCTGTGTTAATCAACTTTTCATCCCTGTGACCAAAATACCTGACACAAAAGAAGAAAAGATTTGTTTGGGTTCATGGTTTCAGAACTTTCAGTCCATGGTTGGCTGGTTCCTTTGGGCCTGAAGTGAGGCAGAACATCATGGCGGAAAGTTGTGGCACAGGAAATCTCAGCTCATGGTAGCCAGGAAGCAGAGAGAAAGGAAGTATCCAGGGACAAAATACACTCCTTCAGGGCATGCCTCCAGTGACCTACTTCTTTCAACTAGAACCTACCTCCTACACTTTCCTAACAATCCATTTGAATTATTAATCCATCAAATGGATTAATCCACTGATGAGGTTAGAACCCTCATGATCCAATTGTAAGGGGACAAATATATGAGGATAATGGGAACATGAAGATAAGAGAATAAGTCTATAAAATGAGTCTATTGCACTGACTTTCTGTAGGTGCTTTATTTGCCAAAAAGCAATCTGCCTGCATCCCTACCTGGCCTGAGGGAACAGGAATGTCACATTCCTCAGCAAACTGAAGCAGAGGGGAAGGGTCTGGCTGTCAGTGAAGGCAATGAATGATGGGAGTTGAGAACATAAGGGCTGGGTATCAAAGAAAAGACAAAGGTTTGCTAACAGCCAACCTCTCTGATCACAATTCCTTGCACAAGGAGTTACTAACAATTACCCTTTGTGCTGTTCCTCCTTGCCCTTAGGCATGTACACAGAGAAGAAAGAGAAGGTGAGGGGTGCTGGGGTCTATAAAAGAGCAAGACACATCTACTTCCATGGACACCCATGGACACCCATCTCTGGGCCCCCTTCTCTTCGGAGAAGTCTGCTACTTCTGTCCCTTTCTTAAATAAAACTTGTTTTCCATGCTTGCCCCAGTGTTTCCTGGGTGTTTAATCTTTGACACCAGGAAAATAAGGATCCAGTCCTGATCTCCAAGACTGGTATCACAAATCATTTCCCATCTCTGAATATTGCTGCATTGGGGACCAAGCTTTCAACACATGGGGGCCCATTCAAGATTTGAATATTATTATATTAGCGGACCACCTGGGAAGGTGCTCAATATTTTGTTAGATTGGTTACTGAAAGCCTAACAGTGGTCTATGATCAACATCAGATTGAAAAGCTAGAACCTTACTTACCAATGTATTACAGAAATCCTGGATGAACACACATCGATAAATTTGTCCTCACTTGTCCCCAGGATTCTTCCAACACAAGTTGGCAGGTTCCTACAACTCCTTCAGTATATATGCTCTTGTACTTGGAGCACATCTATAGTACCGTTAGGATCAAACCTTCATATGGACCTGGAAACTATGAGGGGTGGTCTGGTGGGTCCTGAAGAAAAAAGGCACACCCACTTCCAAGGAGTTTTCAAAACATTTTCTAGTAGGAATACTGGATTCTTCATAGTTTTCAGAGGAACTGGGAATGATATTCTGCCATCAAGGAAGTTTTAGAGATGGGGAGGTTGGAGGTCCAAAATTCTCAGCTTCGTTCATCTCTGCCCTTATATCTCCAATCCTAAGTCTCAGAGTCCTTCTCCTTCACCACAGTGCCTCTATTTCGGCATAAGGGATGTGGTAGGCTTGTATGTTTGTCTGATGTTGCAACTCTATAATTCATACAATCGAATCTTGGATTTGATTTTCAGTCATGTCTGCCACATGATCACATAAAATAAATATTTATTTTTCTTCTTTTTCTTCTTATTTTTTGAGTACCAGGGATTGAACTCAGGGGCACTCAATCACTGAGCCACATCCCCAGCCCTATTTTGTATTTTATTTAGTGACAGGGTCTCACCGAGTTGCTTAGCACCTCGATTGCTGAGGCTGGCTTTGAACTTGTGATCCTTCTACTTGTTATCACAGGCTTGTGCCACCACCCTGGCTTAAAATAAAATCATAAATTTATTTTATAAAATAAATTTCTTAAGACTTTAATAGACTTTTATAGAAGTTATCTGGCTCTTTATTCCTGCCTTGAGTTAGAAGTTCATGATCTTGAACTTATCTTTTTTTTTAAAATGTAATTTTGCTAGCACAATTAGAAACAGCAAACCCTCCAAAATATATGTAATCACCATTTGCAGTCATCATTTGTGGCCATAGCAATTAAGTGACTCCGATACTTCTAACTCTTGCCTTTTAGTATTCCATCCTATGCCTCACTGGTGATATTCTAAGTGATTTTGAGGCTTCTGCATTGCCCAGATTGCTTTGTCTTCTTTTCCCATGCAAGGAGATTATCCTTGTACTCATCAAATACTTGAGCAACCCAATTCTAGGATTCCATTTTGGCAATGTTTCCTGGGATCACTTCTGCAACCATTTTCTCTATCAGTCAGGATCCTGGCAGGAAATAAATGGCATATGTAAGGGTATGGGAAAAATCAAACACTTGTCTTACTGATTACTCAATACTTGGGATTCTCCCCTACCCAGCAATTCTTTGGCAGATGACTCTCCAGCAGACATCAGCTGGGTGTCCTCTAATTCAATTCAGTTCTGACACTATCTATCTGGAGAGTGCATCAGATCTCACAGGTTGAGGGTTCAGTCCCACAAGACTGGCACCTACTTCAGTTGCCAGTCACAAGAACAGGTTGCAGCTTGTGCTTCTGACCAACCAGTTATGTATACAGGTTCCCAGGACTCCCTCTTTGGGTTTAACGTGCTAAAGTAGCTCACAGAACTCAGGGAAACACACTTACTTTTTTTTTTTTTTTTAATTTTTTTGCGGGGGGCAGGAGGAGGGTATCTGGGATAGAACTCAGGGGTACTCAACCACTGATCCACA